TCTATGAGACAGCCCAAGAAATGTATTGGATTTTATGAATGGATGCCTTTATACTTTAGTATAAATTGGTAATTACCTTGATATTATCTAAATCAAAAGCTGGTTTCTTCCAGCTATGCCTAAAATTCATATTACCTATCCCTTCCGTGTGTGACTACAGCATTAATCCATCAAAGGGCTCTGAGCCAGCCACAGGCTGAGTTTCCCTAAAGCTCCCTGCAGAGGAATATAATGGCTACAGACCATTGACCCACCTCAGCAGACACCAGGGATGCTCAAGGATAAATACTATTAGGGTTAGGTTATGGCAGAGGCAGCAACAGACACAACCCTAAATCTCAGGGGCTCAGTAGCCATCAAAGTTTATTTCTCACTCATGTGAAGTCACATGGGTCAGCAGAGCTGACATTCAGTGACTCAGGGGTCTGGGCTCTCTCCATGTTGTACTGCCAGCATCTCAACACAAGATTCCAAGTTCATCCTTCAAGGGGTGATAGACACGGACAGAGAAGGCACACCAACAGTTAAGAACCAAAGGTACCATATCACTTCTCCTTGCATTCCTACCTGCCAGAACTCTATCACATGGATCTAACTGAACCGAAAGGACCCTGGGAAGTGGAGGAGAGCACGTGGATCTTCAGCGAGCGCCTCGCTGCCTCTGGATGAAGTGACGACGCAATCAGGGACATAAAGTCACCAAGTTAGGAGCTGTTTCCTGTCTGAGCGTGTTTGGAGTGGGTGACCAAAAAGCCTTGGTTTTTTTAATCTGTGGCTTCTTTAAACTATTTCTTTTTCTTGTCAAAAAATTGTTTCAGCTTGGGAAAATTGAGGCAACTTGCTAGGAAGCAGGGCTTCACAGCTCTATTTCATCCCATCTCGAGAGAAGGTTGCCTTTAAGTGGCCACATTACACTGTTGATTCATGATAACTTTAAGCCAACGAAAACCCTCACACAATTGTTTAGAGAAACTGCTGCCAAGCCAGGCCTTAACATCCTCTAATTGTGCTGTTCACTTTGCTTTAAGCCTAAATGCAGGGCTTTATATTTACTCTGTTAAGTGTCATCCTGTTATTTTCAGACACTTGCTTCAGCCCTCTGAAGTTTTTATTCTGTCATGTATTGTAATAGCTGTTTCTTCAGAATTTGCCTCCTATACCAATTTGATGAGTAGGTCTTGTGTGTCCAAATGCAAGTTCTTAAAAACAATATGCCAGGGGCAGAGCCCCCCGGTAGAACACCAGAGACCTCCCCCTGAGAGACATCATCACGATCCATTAATAAGCACAGTGGGTTCATTTGTTACACCCAGTTTCATTTTTCTTTCTTTCTTTCTTTCTTTCTTTCTTTCTTTCTTTCTTTCTTTCTTTCTTTCTTTCTTTCT